TGGGGGGTGGGGGGGGGGGGGGGGGGTGGACGCTCGATTCTGAGCAGTGGCTGATGGGGAGACCGAGATGAGGCAGGAAGGGGGCCAGGAGTGCCGGAGCGGTTTGAACTCTACATCCAGTCTCTGGGGACAATGAAAATTTTACGCAGGAAAGTGACAGGTTGGAAAGGGGGACCAGACCACCTAAGTGCTCAGAGCCCTGTACCAAATCATGCAGCCCACCAGGGTTATAAGGGAGGAAGGCCAGTGGGCGTGCCCGTCAGTGCCCAGTGCCCTCCGAAGGCTGGCTGGGTTCCAGCTAAACCCTCCTCTGGTCCTTGCTCTTCAGTTGTGACAGCCGCCCTGCCCCTGGGCCCTGGGTTGCAGTGGGAGTCCCTGTAGGCCCACTGCCAGCTTGAAGTCAACTCCTTTGAACATGGAGTTATTAGCAAACTAGTTTGTCAGGGGAAAGTTGGGGGCAGCCTTTGATCTTCTACCCCAGCCCTCCCCCGCACCCCAAGCCAGCTAGTTGCAGCACCAGCCCCTCCCGGCACCCCACTGTGCTCCCCAGCGACTTCAGAAATGACAGGCTGGAGTTAGTGCTGGAGAGAGCAGTTAATACTAGCCCCTGGGCCCGAGCTGGGAAGGGGACATTCCAGAAGTTACACTGCTAGAAGGTGACAGTGGCAAACGTCTGGAAGCACTTTTGATGTGCTAGGGACACTTAAACCACTCATTCCCACCCCTTTGAGCCGTACTGCTATTATCCTTGTTCTAGAGAATTGTGGTCCCGAGATTCCTAACTAGTAAGGGGAGGGGTTGGGAATGGAACCAGCGCCTGCTTTGCTCCTCTGTCACCAGAGGTGGCCTTCTAGGGCACTGCTGGCCACAATGGGTCACCCCTTTGGGCTGGCAGGAGCTGCCTCCAGGCTCTGGGCTTTGCCCTACCCCCACGGGCCTGGGAGGGAGCGCTGAGCTCGCAGGAAACTGCTTCCAGCAGCTGGGACTTCCCCCAGCAGGGGTGGGGCGGGGCGGGGCGCTGGACTTCTCAGTCTCAGCCAGAGGACAACTGCTGGAGCCACCAGCTGTCTGGGGCTCAGGCTAGCTGCTCACCTGCCAGGTGGCAGTGAGGGGGTGGTGACGTTAACCGTGCCCTTCCTCCAAGTACCACTCCCTGGCAGACTGTGTGGGAGGTGGGGCAGAGACTGAGGCAGGGCTGACACAGGCAGGGCCACAGAGCCCTGGGGGGGTTGGGAGGGGGGCGGCCAGCTTTAGGCTTGGGGCTGCCATCAGGGAAGCACAGGGCAGTCAGGAGAGCACCCCTGCTGGGCCTGGGCCAGCTCCTGCCCTGCCCCTTTACATGCATGCAGGGGTGGGGCTGTGACCTAGAGGGGGTGTGTGTAGGGATGTGTGTGGGGGGGTCCTTTGGAGTCACAAAGCATTGGGCTGAGACACTGCATTCC